TATAATTTATATTTTTTATTAATGAATTTACTCTTAATACTTTAATTTTCAGTACTCCCAAAATTTTTATATTTTAGAAAATTATTATTTAATATCTCTGTAAAACTGGGATTGTATAAACACACAATGAAAAAAACCAATACCAGCACTGTGAAAAGAAAAAATTTACTAACGTTTTCGTCTATATAAAAATAGACATCATCAGGTAAAAACAATATAGAACAAATGGCTAACAAAAATTGAAACTGTTTTTTTCAGATGTTTCAACTGATTATGTAATTAGAATACATTGCATTTAAAATTTATATGTTATGTTCAGGATATAATTTTAAAATATGCATATTATTTAAATGATAATAAATAAATAATCAATTAATTTCTCATTAATTATTACGTAATCAGTTGGAACATCTGTAAAAACATTCAATTTTTGTTAGCTGTTTGTTCTAAATTGTTTTTACCTGATGATGTCTATTTTTATACAGACAAAAATGTTAGTAAATTTTTTCTTTTCACAGTGCTGGTGTTTGTTTTTTGCATTGTGTTATTATTTAAAGTTGTTATTTTCTCAGATCAATTATACATTTATTAAATTTTGTTTATTTTCAATTAAACATTGTACTATTGAATTTTTTTTAATGAACATTAGACTCAAAATATTTAAGTTATTTGTTTTGTGTGTTTAAATTATGGCTAAAAACATAATAAAGCCAAATTGTATAAATTTTTCTTCTCATATAAATTTTTATATAAAGTTTTCATATAAATGACATAAATATATCAACATCAATGTTAAGCTCTTACATTATTCAGATTTTCAATAATACCATTTTGAGAATGTTCATTAAACATACAATATTTGTGAAATGAACATGTGTGCAGAATGAAAAGTAACTACCAAAAAGGATATAAAATATTTTTTCAGTTTTATAATAGAAAAATAAACACATATTTATAAAGAATCTTCCAAAAAGAATTCTATGATTTTAAATGACTGTAATTATGTTTATTATTATCTGAGAATATTGTAATGTACATTAAAATCGTGGCAAACTGTTTAAGTTTCACATTTGCCCATTACAGTTTCTTAATGTGTGCACTTCGTGTCACACGGCACACGGCACACATCCAATTGATACTCAAATTCTTCCTACACTCACTACAGCATATCTGTTATCATGTCTCCCATAGCAGACACAATTCAGCTGTAGGTTACTCATGTTGCACAATGATGAGTGATTTTGACTTTGCAAACTGCAGAACACAAAATGTTTTCTCTATTGTGTAGTCACTGTTTTTGTTTACAGTTCTTCCTAGATACAACAGAGAAAAAGATGTTTTATGCAGATGGTAGATGAAACGTGGACAATTACTCTATCAATTGTTGTACATTGCATACTTCTCAGATAATAATTAACATAATTACAATAATTTAAAATGGTAGAATTTATTTTAGAAGATTCTGTATGTTTTATGTATGATCTTATGAAAAGTTTAGTCTTAGATAGACAGTTTATTGCATTACATGTGAACATTATAAGAAAGTATAGTAGAATCTGTTTATTTATTGAATGTTTTATGGGCATTCCTATTGCTATCTGCAAAAATTTTATTTTCAAAATTTTTGTATAGCTGAAAACTCACAAATATACTGCTTATTTAAAGCAACTGAAAAATGTTTATTACAAAAACATTTTCAGCTTTCTTAAAGTCATCTTTAGCTATTGCAATTAGAGCTGTTGCATACTCTAAAATGTAATACTTGTTTCAAAGAAAATTGTCATGTACAGTACTTGTTTATTTTTAGAATTCTATCAGTTTCATTATAAGTTAATAAAGTTAATATATACATTACCATTATATATATATAGAACACATGACATGAAAGTTTATTTTGTTTAGAATATTAAAGCAAAAATTTTAAATGTAAAAACTTACATGTACTGTATATGTGAAGGTTACAAAAATATGTTTTATATAAAATGTATGTTTTTGTCATTTTCACTGGGCAAAACATTATGATCTGTACTAATGATATTATGTAAGAGTTATGTTTCAGTTACTGTTTTATTTTTTTAGTGCAAATGTGTTCTAAGCCCTGAACAAGTTTTCATAGATTATAAAATTGATTCTTCAAAAAATTCTTTGAAGATGATGATAAATATTAAATCAAAAAATTGTGCAGAATGGAAAATAATTTCTCGACTAACATATTACATATTTGTATATTAAATGTTAACTAATGGTGAACATTAAATGATTTCTCACATTGAAAAATAATAATAGATTTCTTGTCAAATAGTTAAAACATTAATCATTACTTCATCATGTTGTAGTAAATATTTTTATCAGATTTGACAACACAGTTGATGTTATATCAGTATGCAGGATTTTAAATTGACTGATATAATGGTATAAATTTCATCTTTGTTATTATTATTTACTACTATTATAAATAAATTTTATAATTGCTGACACCATATATAAATATATAGAATTATACAGAAAAATTATGTTAAATTTGTTCTACAAATTTAATAAAAATATATTAATTATATACAGATTTTAGAAGCAATTGATGAACCAAACTTTCAAAGATTGGAACAACCAGATTGTTGTCCTAAGGAATATTATTCACTAATGAGAAAATGCTGGCAACATGATCCAAGCAAAAGACCAAAGTTTTCCGAAATTGCACCAATTCTACCAGAGGTAAGAAACTGTTTTATTTTATAACTCAATGTATTTTATTAATTTTAGTTACTGCTTTAAAAATATAAAGTCATTAGTATCAATAGAATTGCAAAAAAACACATTTGTTATTAAATTATTGTTATTCTTGATCATTCTAATATTGTATCTCAGATTATTTGGTTAGAAAGTGATAAAAATATATATAGTGGATCACAACTCTCTCAGCATACAATCAAATAACTTTACAATTCACTCTCTAAAATAAAATAAAGTTTACAGAATGCTGACTGTTCACTCTATGAACAGTCAGCATTCTGTATTCTATGTTCACATTAAATTAATCAAATCAGACAATATATATATAAAGAGAGTTCATTTATTTCAGTGAACATATCAATTTTCATGATCTCAAAGCAAATTGCCAAGACTTTATATTATTGGATTTCCATTATGATTTTTTTAATGATATGATATAGTATGATGTATGATCTCTATAATAGATTAATATTTATTATGGAGATTCTACATCATAGTTTTTTATTAATGATTTATGATGTACTTGTTCAAGTTTCAACTGTAAATTTTTACTATTGTAAGTTTTGTATTGAACTTTTACTTCTGTTGCTAAATTAGTACAATTCGGCAACATTTAAATTCAATATTAATTAAATGCTTGTGAAGATAAATGTTATCAACAATTAGTCTATTATTTTCAAATAAGTAAAGCAAAGAACACTAAAAAGAAAATATGAAATGAAAAAAGAAAATGATAGATTTATGGAGATAAAAGTTAATGCATGTTAACATTTATAAAGACTGTGGTGTAGTAAACACTAGTATTGTGTTTTATTCCAAAGACACATGCCAAGTTTTCCATCAAAAGACAAAAAGGGATACCAGTGCAAAAGACAAAAAGGGGGTGGAAGGTGAAAAAGGGAGCAGAAACAGCTAGAAATTTTTACAGTTGTATTGTATCAAAATCTACCTAAAAGGGAAGATTCTGGAAGATTTTAACCTTTTAATTTGTAATATATACTAGTTTATTTACAGAAGATTAGAGCAGATTTTACATGTTTTTAAATTATACAAAGTGTAACCAAAAGGTACGTCTATATACCGTTTATGTACTCATTGTTTTATGTAAATTCTCTACTGTAATAAGTTAAAAAATATATATAGTATTTTAGTTGACTGAAGAGGGGCAAAGCCCGAAACAAGTACAAAACAATGTACCGTATCGACTCAACTAATAAAGAAATTTGATGGAAAACTTGCCATGTGTCTTTGGAATAAAACACAATACTAGTGTTTACTATACTACAATTATAAAACAGGACACAGTTTCAAAAAACAAATAAAAAAATTTATAAAGATATTTATTTTTAAATGTTCATATACACCTATCCCTCTTTTTGTGCAGTGGATACATTCCAAAGAACACTGCACAAAAAGAGTAGAAAATATTGTGTAAAAAAGTACATTACATGTAGAAAAGGCTTGATAGGATCCACAACTTTAAAGACTGCCACATACTAGGCAATGTCATTGCTTTTGATGTGATGGCTGAGGCAATTTTTATGGTTACATGATGGTTTTGCTTTGATGATCAGGCAAATTCTCTGCTTGTGATATCACTCGTGACATAGTTCTACAGAACCAATAAGCAGTATGTCTACCACTCTCTGAACTATTGCTTGGTAGTTTGTTTTCTAAAATGGCAACAACTTGCATCAGCAAATGGAAACAGCTGAAGCTAACTAATGTTAGCTTTGGCTGCTTTCATTTATTGTTTATTTGTCAGAAATGTAATAAATAAATGAAAAAGAAATTGGGGATCTGATGTATTTATAAATTACAATAAAATCAATGAATTAATTTATATTCTTACTTCTATGAAAAAATCAAACAGCTGTTTCGTAATCCCAGCATAATGAAGACATGGCTGAAACATGAAGCATAAACATGCACCTTCTTTGTGGCCTACAGTGCAGGCTCCTTTCTTGCAAAATTTGAAATGCGCATGAGCATTGTCAGTTGCCACCTGAAAAATCAAGCTCCTAGGATCTGAGACGCATGGAATGGACTGTCTACTTTCCATTAAAGGATATGATGTAAAGTAACATTGAGTCGATGATAGGCAATTGATAGCCATCAAGCGGGTAATGATCGAATGAATTTGCTTACACCAGTTTGCTTCGATATTGCCTGGTTTGTGGCAGCCTTAATGGAATGAAAAAATAAGCATTTTTATTCTAACATCATTTATCATTAAGATTATTTGTACATGAATACAGTAAACATAATAAACAGAAGGTAGCATGGAAAACAAAATCAACATATAGTAAGTATTCTCTGATGTACTGTACAGTACATATAGTACTAGACTATGCTTAAAAGAAGATAAATGAACTCTTGATTTCAACAAAAAGAGTAACTTTTTTTAAACAGTAACACAATTTTAACAAAAAGTCAAATTTAAAAATTTTCAAATAAACTATTTTTCCCATGTATAAAAAATTATGTAAAACAAGGATTAGTTTTCTTTTGTTAATTGTGTTATTTTTAAATCATGTAAAAGTAGCCCACATAAAAAGAGTATTATGAAGTTATAAGTAAAATTTTTAACACTTAAAATAATTTATTTATATATGCATTATTTTGTAATCTAGACTAATTAATCATAAACTCTTACTGCAATTATTAATGTCATATTGAAAAATAACTTAAAAGGAATTTTGTATCTTCATAGAGTAATTCAGTTATATTTATCACATGATTAATTTATTTCTCTGCAAATGGTAGATTAATTATTTAATTTTTAAAATAATAAACTAATTAGTAATTCACTTTTATTAAACATTTTCATAATAACAATTTACTATTATTCATAACTGTTAAGAGTTTGGAATTTTAGATTCAGTTTAGATTATTTAATTTTTTAATGAATTCTTTTTATTTTTGAAACCTTTTTTTTCTGTATTTAGACTAATATATAAAATAATTAATAGAAATGTCAATGTTTTTTTAATAATTATTTTACTTTAAGTAGAGCAATGTTGTAGTAGGTTTGTTTATTTACAGTACAAACCAGAGCAAGTTCAAGCAATTAAAGATAGCTGTGATGTATTAAATGGTTCAAAAGCAAAGAAAGATTCTCTTCAATATAAAGTTGGAGAAATAATTACAGTATTAGATAAAAAGTAAGATATTTGTATTATTATTAAAGAAAAGTTATTGATAGAGCTTTGGTATATTAGCATCTTATATATTACCAGTATATTATCTTCTTGAATAGAGCATTAGTATATTAACTTATAAAGATATGATACTTAAAATAATATTAATTTTGAATTGTTTATTATTATTATTATTATTTATTAAAGATTAATATATTTATTTGATAAATTTAATTAATAAGCACTAGTTAGCTATAAGTAACTAGATTTTTATTTTTTGAATTATAGTAAAATTTGCATAATCATTTTGGGATCTGTATATATATTGATAACATTGAATGGCATAATTAAATACGATTACAATTAATGGAAATACTTATTTTATTAACTCTAACAGTGAAAGAACTAATTAACACAATTAAAAAATGTATAACTTAAAGATTTATTTATATTATTATTAACTTACATATTTTGGGTCATGTTACTTCTAATAACATCAAACAACTGAATACATATTTTAATTCTTTAATAAACACTAATCTTATTTTTTATTATTACAAGAAACATAAAACTAGAGCTTGTTAACAATGTAATATTGGATGTAGAAGTCCTTTTTAAATGTTTTCTTCAAACCACTACCAATATTTTCTAGCAGACTCCTTTACACTTATACATGCACTTTTTTTGGACTTTCTATTATAATTCCAGAGTAGTATTACTATTTAAAAATTAGTTTAATGATTACCAGTTTTTTTCTCTAGGTTAAATTTCTGTTATGCAGGATGTTTTATTTTGCCTTCTGCATGTCATAATTCTGTAATTTTACTCCCTACACTTTCATCAGATTCTTTGTATGTTGTCTCGAGTAACTCTTTAACTCTGCAAAATTTACTTCTATTGCTTACATTAGATAAACCAATTAATTTTTATTAATTGTATTTGTAGATAATTATAAGGAAGAATAATTTAACTTTTAGCATACTTAAGTTAAGCATACTTTTAGCACAACAACTGTTTTTGTTTTTTTACAAAAGAAATATTTCATACACTACTTTTTTGTTGAAGGAACACCAATAGTGAAAAATATTGCATCTTATATTTTCCAGTTTCAGTGTCAGGTAATATCACTTGTACAGACTATTGGTATCTTACTCACAAATAAATGTTGAAATGGATATAAACCCACCATAATCAAAATAAACTATTCTGGTGTGATATCATAAAGTTTTCTCTGCAGTCACAAAGTAGCCTCAGTTTAAGTATTAAAAATAAATATGGATGATGAATTTACTTAAAATTGGCATGTAGAATAAACAAAGGGCTTAACAGTTGAGGCAGAGAAGAGCTTCAAAATAAAGATTGGCTCCACCACATGATAATGATGTTCCTGTTGTATGAGAAGAAAAATTGTAAAAACCTTTGTATTTCTTTATATGTGAATTTTAAATGAATTTATAGTGTCATCCAGGTTTATTTTTAGTAGTTTAAAACATTTAGTTTTGTACATAGAATTTGTTTTTTACTAAATAAGAAATATTCTTTTTTGGACAATAAAGGCTCGTCTTTACTTATAATAAGAAATTTAAATCTTGAATTTGAAAAAAGTATTTATTTTTCTTATATAAAAATATAAGAAAAATAAATATTTTTTTTTTTTATCAAAACAGTTTTTTGATCAAAATATGTCTTTTGATCAAAACAGTAATATATTTTATTATTTTAAGTTTTCTTGAAGAAATAAATTATTTCTCATATAAAGGTTAAAAGTTATTTTGAATAGTTTATTTATAACATAAACAACATCAAAACAAATGTTATAAGAATTTTCTTATCTTAAGATAATAATAATAATGAACAAAATTATAAATATTATAAAGCAAAACTTTAAATTGATGATTATTGATATAAAATATTTTAATTATAATTTTTTTTTTTATTTAGACCAATTTCAGAAAATTCTAGTTCTAATTTCTGGAAAGGAGTGACCAACAATGGTAAAACAGGTCTCTTTAATCCTGCTAATACAGTAACGTATCTTGGACGGAATTTACCAACAAATCATGCCACATTTTCAAGAGCAGAAAGCAAATCTGGATTATATTCAAGTCGAAGAAGGTAAATAAGTGTAAAATTATGTGGGAATAAATTTGGATATTATCTGAAAGAAGAGATCACAATTCTATTATATCATATATTTTTTTTTTTGTATATTTAGTTGCTTACAAATTTGATTTGTAGGTAATCTATACATTAACTTAATATATTATTTTAATATTTATAACATTATTATAATATTAATATTTATTTAACATTTATACTTATAACATTTATCTATTATAACATTTATCTACATTTATGTTATAATACTTAATAATTTAGCTAAACATTATTTAAGTATATAATAGATGTGGAGTCTTTTTTAAGTAATGCATTATAAATATTTTTTCCTTAGGCATCTTTAAATTATTTTAAGTTTACTTTTTCACCAAATCATAAAAATTTGTGTGTAAAATAGTTAATTATATTACAATTTAACATTTTTTTGTTACTGTAAACTCTTGCTAAGTTGAATTGTGAATTAAATTGAACTAAAATAAAATAAAATAAAAAAAAAGTTGAACTGTGTTAATATAAAGCTATCTACAGATTCTTGCACAGTATACAGGGTTTTCCATATAATACATTCTCATTAAGTTTGTTAAGTTTCCATGTATCCTCTACCATTTGATAGGTCCATAATCTTCATGTTTTCTTATATTTAGTATGAATACAGATTAAGATAAACATTATGGTTCCATGACAAACACATTATGCCATTACATCCTGCATTGACATCCATTTACTGATATGGTATGTTACTGGCATTCTGACTGGGACAAAAGGGCATTTGACAATGCACTCAAAAGTGCCATAAACTGTACCGTATACAATTTTGTAATAATCATTCTGTGAGATTTTTGAGGAATGGCTTGATAACAGGAATTTATGACCACAGAAAAATTTGAGAAAATTAAGTATTAAACTCTAACTTGAAATTGGGATCTTTTACCCCTTAAAGAGGTTTTACTGTATATAATTTATTATTTCATTTTTCTGTAAAATAATAAAACATTATACAATAAAAGGCTTTTACCTTTCCTGAAGTGATACCTAATATTTTAAATTTAAATTCTGAATATAAAAATAAATAAAACTATTACATTTTTTGAATATAATATTTGAATAGTAAATTGCACTATAGACCTATTGTCTGGTGTTGGTAATGTGTATATTGCACAAATGTTTTCGAGCTCCTCCTGAGTCCTGCTTCAGGTGAATCATGTTGTTTTTTTGATAGAACACAATCACAGAAAAATAAAAATTTGAACGTCTGTTAAAAAAACAATTAAAGATGTATAAGTAATATTAAATATTTAATATACCTTTTACATTGAGATAATTACATCCTGATACAAACATGTGACATCTGATGGCCAATCAGGCATTTGTTTTATATTTTAAATTATTATATTGCGTCATACATTCTATTCTGATATATGTTTTTGAATAAGTTCTTTTACTTGATGATGATTGCTAAAAGCAACTTTTCAGTTGTGTTTCATGAGCTGGATTTTTGGTTGTGTAAGTGTTTTGAATATTATCCAATATTTAGTGCATTTATTATTTAATCAGTTTTGTTTGCTGGAATGAATCTAATTTATTTTATAGATTAATTTTTTCATTAATCAATTACATATCAGAATATAGTGTGGCAGTTAAGCAAAAAAAATATTTATGATATAAATTCAATAACCAATAAAACAAAGATTTAATTATGAACATTTTATGATTCAAATATATATTGTTTATAGAACTTTGGATTTATAAAGAAAATATTCAAGCTAAAGAAATGAAAACAAAACTTTTGAACAAAAATAAAGTAGTATTCTTAAAAAGATATTTTTTCTAATATTTACAGTTTGGTTTAAATAATGAAATCAATAACAGTAGTTTCCAAATGATCAGCCAAATTTTTATTGGGCTAAATTATGGTTACTTAATAATCAGAAACAGAGATAAGAGTTTAAGCTTCCTGTCTCTATACTATACTACTATGATTACTCAATAATCAGAAACTGAGCAATTTGGCTAGAGGTAGGAGGCTAACCATCTCCTTGTACTAAAATTGCTTTGTTTCTGATTATTGAGTAACTATAATTTAATCCACTTAAAATTTAGCAGATTGTTTGGAAGTTCTAACAAAATTACTTTTTTTTACATTTATAAAACTATTTTGAAGTAAAAGGTATAAAATTGAGTTTATATTGAATAAAACTTTAAATTAATTAAATTAATTTGAATTATATCATTTATTATTTAAATTAATTTCTGCGTGGCTTACACATATAATCTACATTAAATGTTTTTTGTTTTTGAAGATTATGTAGGGATATGATTTCAAGACCTCAAGGTGATTTCAAGCATACTGGCCATGTAGGTTTAGATGGGGCATTTTTTGGAGATATATCATTTTTGGGTGAAAAGTATCATCAACTCCCTAAACAAGTTGTTACACCATGTAAGACTTTTTTATTTCTTAAATGAATTTAAAATTTATAATTTATTGTATGAAAATATATGCAAGTTTTTTAATACTTAGATATGATAAAGACATGTTTAACACTTTCACTGCCAGTATAAAAACAAATTTCCTACCAATATGCTGACAAATTTGCTTTTATTTAATTATAATATGTATGTTAAATAGTGTCAAAGGAAATTTTGCTATCACATTTTCCCCAAAAAATAGACTATACTAGTTGGACATACCAAAAAAAAATGAATATACAAAATACTAAAACAAAACTAATAAATGAAATATATTTTCTTAAGCGTACAATAAATGATTAAGGTAAACTTTCCTGATATTCTCGAGATTTTATAAAATATTTGACTTTCTTGAGATTTCAAATTTTTATACCATACTTTGTAAGTAGCTGAGTATGGTTATATCTAAATTAATAAGTTCTGGAAATGGGAATCAGATGAAGGTCTAGGTAGTGTAACTGGTAATGCGACTGCACAGTAAGTAGTTTGAGTCCACTTCACAGTGCACAGGTTTGAGTCCACTTCAGGCTGATTTTTTTTTCCAGAACCACCTAAATTAATTATTAAAATATTAGTTTAATTATAATTATTAAATTTAGCAAGAGATGGTGCCTAATGCCTGTCACTAGTGCCAAGTTACTTGGCATTTAATAGCAGTGGTTATATAGTCCAACATAATTTGGCAATCATTTGGCTTTAATATATAACGATCAGGTTTGGATGTTTATATTTATAATATTGATTTTTAATTAACTTTTACAGCTTAAAATAATTTAAAATATTGTTAGTTTAAATACTTGTTTTATTAAGAATATGCTTTTGAATGTAAATTTGTAGATAAACCCCAAGATGATAAAGAGAAAAGCAACCTCAGTCTAAATAAGATTCCATCAATAGAAAAATTTCCATTATTTAATAGATCTGCTTCAATGAAAATTGTCAGTTGTGAGTATAATAATAATTTTATGTGTTTATTTATTAAAATAAAATTTTAATTTGATATACATTAAATACTTATCTGTTAGGATTAATTAATTAATTTCTGTATTTTATGGCATATAAGATGCAACTTTTGACCAAAAAAATAGGCTAATAAAATTCAACTTGCATCTTAGATGAAGTTTCAATTCCCCATAGGCTAATAAATTCTCCAAATGGCCTTCAATAGGCTACAGGTAACCTCTGACTAGTTCAAAACGCTTGAATGAAAATGTTATTGTCTAATGAAATATTTTATTACTAAGTTTAATTATTTAAAAACAGCATTATTGTAAATATTAAAGTTAGATAATATGAAACAATTATTCATTGATTGACTGTCATATGTATCCAACATTAAAGTGTGTATTCTAACTTTTTTTTTAAACTAGAATACAGTAAAAATTTTGGGGCTTAGTTCTAAAGGCACAGGATTAAATACACTTTCCCTCCAAATATTTATTCTCTGCTGAAATGGAGGTGTGTGTTATATGCTGTAAAAATATGGTATATAAGTTTGATGAGGAAATTAATGGGTGTGTTTACTTTTTGCTAGCTTCCAAGCTCGCTGAGCTGATACCTAGCACAGCTTGACATCATACTAGCTTGCTTGTAAAAGTATACACAATAATGGATGCCGCCATCTTTGAACAAACTCCAAGCTCATTGTAAATTCTCCGAGCACACCAAGCGTGCTAGGAATGCTAGCAGTGACATCACGGGTGTGAAAAGTAAACACTGTGCTCATTGGTAGCTAATAAAAAGTATACAGGCTGAGCACGCTAGGGGCGAGATCGGAGCTAAAAGTAAACGCACCCATTATTATTAAATGCCTGTTCAAATGGAAATATGATATGAAAAATTCTTATTTTTCTACTTTCCATTTTTGTTATATATTAAAATTTGTGCATAGTAGAAAATGTATGAATCATTTGAAATGAAAGAAATGCTAAACATTCTTGTATACTTGTATACTCTAACTATACACACACACACACACACACACACATATATATATATATATAGTTAGAGTTTAGCCATTAGCAGCAATTAGAATAATGTTATAAAATTTAAATTTTAGGAAAATTGTTTGTTTTTTTATATTTCACTACTTTTTGATTTTATTTTAAAAATAATTTGATTTCTTTGCCAATTTTATGTAAATGTGTATTTTTAATACACATTTATTTCAAAATTAAGTGTGCAAGCATTTAGGATAATAAGTTTATTGCATTTTTATAGAAACTAAGTAACATGTATCAGTTTTTCTTACTATTATCTTAAAAATTAATTGCAATTTATTTTTGTAATTTATGTAATTTGATTTATTTAGAAAATTTCAGCTGACATATTTAGTTTTTCATGTTTTAAAAAATTATATGTTATAGAAACATACAGCAATTTTATCAAAAATACTATTAAGTTTAAAAAATTAAATATGTATTATATACAAATTATGTATGTGTATATAAACAATATAAAGTTTGTAAAGAGTATTCATTTAAATATATAAAAATTAATGATATTTACACTTATTATAAGTATATATTAAGAAAAAATTATAAGTTGTTTAAATATATTAGTAGTTGATAGTACAAAATAATGTATTTAATAGACAAAAATATCAAGTCTGGAATAATTTTTGTACACATATTCTCTGACCTTACAAACATTTGTAAGGTCAGAGAATTCAATTTTCAAACTGATTGCTGAGATTTACCAACAACTGTCATTCCACTTGTAGTGCTGTGGCAGTATGACATGGGATTGGATCAGACAGTAATCTCTAATATAGTTTAAAAGTATCAAAGTAAATTATAATCAAAATTTTTCAATTTAACTATTGACTTTGTAAATTATATGCATTATCAAAAAGTATTCTGAGGCTTATTTTTCAATGATTTTTCAAAATCAGATTTTTTGGCAAAAGTTTCTTTTGTGTGTTTAAAAGAAATCCAGAAATTTGAGTTTTTTTTTTAAATCATTTTTACAGGTTGCAATTAGAATTGTATTATTATAATTATCTAATATTTATTACATTTAAAATAATTTTTTTGAAGATAAAAGTTTGCTTAAATAAATTAGTTAACAGATTTGTTAATGAAAAATTTCATTTTATGATAGATAAATTAGATAGATTTTTTTAAAATATGCTATCAGATTTTTAAAATGTAATATAATATAAAACTTTTTGAAATATTTAAGTATTTTTAATAAAAACTTATTTATTTGTTGTGACTTATTATTATCTAATTAAAATATTGTCAAAAACTTATCAAAATCGTAAAATGAATTATTAATTTAATTAAATTTACATAATTAATGATTTTAAAATTTTAGCAAATACATGGTCAGCTCCCAGTCATGATTCTGATATTTACAAAGATAAAACTGGNTTTTTTTTGTATATTTAGTTGCTTACAAATTTGAACTAGAGCTTGTTAACAATGTAATATTGGATGTAGAAGTCCTTTTTAAATGTTTTCTTCAAACCACTACCAATATTTTCTAGCAGACTCCTTTACACTTATACATGCACTTTTTTTGGACTTTCTATTATAATTCCAGAGTAGTATTACTATTTAAAAATTAGTTTAATGATTACCAGTTTTTTTCTCTAGGTTAAATTTCTGTTATGCAGGATGTTTTATTTTGCCTTCTGCATGTCATAATTCTGTAATTTTACTCCCTACACTTTCATCAGATTCTTTGTATGTTGTCTCGAGTAACTCTTTAACTCTGCAAAATTTACTTCTATTGCTTACATTAGATAAACCAATTAATTTTTATTAATTGTATTTGTAGATAATTATAAGGAAGAATAATTTAACTTTTAGCATACTTAAGTTAAGCATACTTTTAGCACAACAACTGTTTTTGTTTTTTTACAAAAGAAATATTTCATACACTACTTTTTTGTTGAAGGAACACCAATAGTGAAAAATATTGCATCTTATATTTTCCAGTTTCAGTGTCAGGTAATATCACTTGTACAGACTATTGGTATCTTACTCACAAATAAATGTTGAAATGGATATAAACCCACCATAATCAAAATAAACTATTCTGGTGTGATATCATAAAGTTTTCTCTGCAGTCACAAAGTAGCCTCAGTTTAAGTATTAAAAATAAATATGGATGATGAATTTACTTAAAATTGGCATGTAGAATAAACAAAGGGCTTAACAGTTGAGGCAGAGAAGAGCTTCAAAATAAAGATTGGCTCCACCACATGATAATGATGTTCCTGTTGTATGAGAAGAAAAATTGTAAAAACCTTTGTATTTCTTTATATGTGAATTTTAAATGAATTTATAGTGTCATCCAGGTTTATTTTTAGTAGTTTAAAACATTTAGTTTTGTACATAGAATTTGTTTTTTACTAAATAAGAAATATTCTTTTTTGGACAATAAAGGCTCGTCTTTACTTATAATAAGAAATTTAAATCTTGAATTTGAAAAAAGTATTTATTTTTCTTATATAAAAATATAAGAAAAATAAATATTTTTTTTTTTTATCAAAACAGTTTTTTGATCAAAATATGTCTTTTGATCAAAACAGTAATATATTTTATTATTTTAAGTTTTCTTGAAGAAATAAATTATTTCTCATATAAAGGTTAAAAGTTATTTTGAATAGTTTATTTATAACATAAACAACATCAAAACAAATGTTATAAGAATTTTCTTATCTTAAGATAATAATAATAATGAACAAAATTATAAATATTATAAAGCAAAACTTTAAATTGATGATTATTGATATAAAATATTTTAATTATAATTTTTTTTTTTATTTAGACCAATTTCAGAAAATTCTAGTTCTAATTTCTGGAAAGGAGTGACCAACAATGGTAAAACAGGTCTCTTTAATCCTGCTAATACAGTAACGTATCTTGGACGGAATTTACCAACAAATCATGCCACATTTTCAAGAGCAGAAAGCAAATCTGGATTATATTCAAGTCGAAGAAGGTAAATAAGTGTAAAATTATGTGGGAATAAATTTGGATATTATCTGAAAGAAGAGATCACAATTCTATTATATCATATATTTTTTTTTTTGTATATTTAGTTGCTTACAAATTTGATTTGTAGGTAATCTATACATTAACTTAATATATTATTTTAATATTTATAACATTATTATAATATTAATATTTATTTAACATTTATACTTATAACATTTATCTATTATAACATTTATCTACATTTATGTTATAATACTTAATAATTTAGCTAAACATTATTTAAGTATATAATAGATGTGGAGTCTTTTTTAAGTAATGCATTATAAATATTTTTTCCTTAGGCATCTTTAAATTATTTTAAGTTTACTTTTTCACCAAATCATAAAAATTTGTGTGTAAAATAGTTAATTATATTACAATTTAACATTTTTTTGTTACTGTAAACTCTTGCTAAGTTGAATTGTGAATTAAATTGAACTAAAATAAAATAAAATAAAAAAAAAGTTGAACTGTGTTAATATAAAGCTATCTACAGATTCTTGCACAGTATACAGGGTTTTCCATATAATACATTCTCATTAAGTTTGTTAAGTTTCCATGTATCCTCTACCATTTGATAGGTCCATAATCTTCATGTTTTCTTATATTTAGTATGAATACAGATTAAGATAAACATTATGGTTCCATGACAAACACATTATGCCATTACATCCTGCATTGACATCCATTTACTGATATGGTATGTTACTGGCATTCTGACTGGGACAAAAGGGCATTTGACAATGCACTCAAAAGTGCCATAAACTGTACCGTATACAATTTTGTAATAATCATTCTGTGAGATTTTTGAGGAATGGCTTGATAACAGGAATTTATGACCACAGAAAAATTTGAGAAAATTAAGTATTAAACTCTAACTTGAAATTGGGATCTTTTACCCCTTAAAGAGGTTTTACTGTATATAATTTATTATTTCATTTTTCTGTAAAATAATAAAACATTATACAATAAAAGGCTTTTACCTTTCCTGAAGTGATACCTAATATTTTAAATTTAAATTCTGAATATAAAAATAAATAAAACTATTACATTTTTTGAATATAATATTTGAATAGTAAATTGCACTATAGACCTATTGTCTGGTGTTGGTAATGTGTATATTGCACAAATGTTTTCGAGCTCCTCCTGAGTCCTGCTTCAGGTGAATCATGTTGTTTTTTTGATAGAACACAATCACAGAAAAATAAAAATTTGAACGTCTGTTAAAAAAACAATTAAAGATGTATAAGTAATATTAAATATTTAATATACCTTTTACATTGAGATAATTACATCCTGATACAAACATGTGACATCTGATGGCCAATCAGGCATTTGTTTTATATTTTAAATTATTATATTGCGTCATACATTCTATTCTGATATATGTTTTTGAATAAGTTCTTTTACTTGATGATGATTGCTAAAAGCAACTTTTCAGTTGTGTTTCATGAGCTGGATTTTTGGTTGTGTAAGTGTTTTGAATATTATCCAATATTTAGTGCATTTATTATTTAATCAGTTTTGTTTGCTGGAATGAATCTAATTTATTTTATAGATTAATTTTTTCATTAATCAATTACATATCAGAATATAGTGTGGCAGTTAAGCAAAAAAAATATTTATGATATAAATTCAATAACCAATAAAACAAAGATTTAATTATGAACATTTTATGATTCAAATATATATTGTTTATAGAACTTTGGATTTATAAAGAAAATATTCAAGCTAAAGAAATGAAAACAAAACTTTTGAACAAAAATAAAGTAGTATTCTTAAAAAGATATTTTTTCTAATATTTACAGTTTGGTTTAAATAATGAAATCAATAACAGTAGTTTCCAAATGATCAGCCAAATTTTTATTGGGCTAAATTATGGTTACTTAATAATCAGAAACAGAGATAAGAGTTTAAGCTTCCTGTCTCTATACTATACTACTATGATTACTCAATAATCAGAAACTGAGCAATTTGGCTAGAGGTAGGAGGCTAACCATCTCCTTGTACTAAAATTGCTTTGTTTCTGATTATTGAGTAACTATAATTTAATCCACTTAAAATTTAGCAGATTGTTTGGAAGTTCTAACAAAATTACTTTTTTTTACATTTATAAAACTATTTTGAAGTAAAAGGTATAAAATTGAGTTTATATTGAATAAAACTTTAAATTAATTAAATTAATTTGAATTATATCATTTATTATTTAAATTAATTTCTGCGTGGCTTACACATATAATCTACATTAAATGTTTTTTGTTTTTGAAGATTATGTAGGGATATGATTTCAAGACCTCAAGGTGATTTCAAGCATACTGGCCATGTAGGTTTAGATGGGGCATTTTTTGGAGATATATCATTTTTGGGTGAAAAGTATCATCAACTCCCTAAACAAGTTGTTACACCATGTAAGACTTTTTTATTTCTTAAATGAATTTAAAATTTATAATTTATTGTATGAAAATATATGCAAGTTTTTTAATACTTAGATATGATAAAGACATGTTTAACACTTTCACTGCCAGTATAAAAACAAATTTCCTACCAATATGCTGACAAATTTGCTTTTATTTAATTATAATATGTATGTTAAATAGTGTCAAAGGAAATTTTGCTATCACATTTTCCCCAAAAAATAGACTATACTAGTTGGACATACCAAAAAAAAATGAATATACAAAATACTAAAACAAAACTAATAAATGAAATATATTTTCTTAAGCGTACAATAAATGATTAAGGTAAACTTTCCTGATATTCTCGAGATTTTATAAAATATTTGACTTTCTTGAGATTTCAAATTTTTATACCATACTTTGTAAGTAGCTGAGTATGGTTATATCTAAATTAATAAGTTCTGGAAATGGGAATCAGATGAAGGTCTAGGTAGTGTAACTGGTAATGCGACTGCACAGTAAGTAGTTTGAGTCCACTTCACAGTGCACAGGTTTGAGTCCACTTCAGGCTGATTTTTTTTTCCAGAACCACCTAAATTAATTATTAAAATATTAGTTTAATTATAATTATTAAATTTAGCAAGAGATGGTGCCTAATGCCTGTCACTAGTGCCAAGTTACTTGGCATTTAATAGCAGTGGTTATATAGTCCAACATAATTTGGCAATCATTTGGCTTTAATATATAACGATCAGGTTTGGATGTTTATATTTATAATATTGATTTTTAATTAACTTTTACAGCTTAAAATAATTTAAAATATTGTTAGTTTAAATACTTGTTTTATTAAGAATATGCTTTTGAATGTAAATTTGTAGATAAACCCCAAGATGATAAAGAGAAAAGCAACCTCAGTCTAAATAAGATTCCATCAATAGAAAAATTTCCATTATTTAATAGATCTGCTTCAATGAAAATTGTCAGTTGTGAGTATAATAATAATTTTATGTGTTTATTTATTAAAATAAAATTTTAATTTGATATACATTAAATACTTATCTGTTAGGATTAATTAATTAATTTCTGTATTTTATGGCATATAAGATGCAACTTTTGACCAAAAAAATAGGCTAATAAAATTCAACTTGCATCTTAGATGAAGTTTCAATTCCCCATAGGCTAATAAATTCTCCAAATGGCCTTCAATAGGCTACAGGTAACCTCTGACTAGTTCAAAACGCTTGAATGAAAATGTTATTGTCTAATGAAATATTTTATTACTAAGTTTAATTATTTAAAAACAGCATTATTGTAAATATTAAAGTTAGATAATATGAAACAATTATTCATTGATTGACTGTCATATGTATCCAACATTAAAGTGTGTATTCTAACTTTTTTTTTAAACTAGAATACAGTAAAAATTTTGGGGCTTAGTTCTAAAGGCACAGGATTAAATACACTTTCCCTCCAAATATTTATTCTCTGCTGAAATGGAGGTGTGTGTTATATGCTGTAAAAATATGGTATATAAGTTTGATGAGGAAATTAATGGGTGTGTTTACTTTTTGCTAGCTTCCAAGCTCGCTGAGCTGATACCTAGCACAGCTTGACATCATACTAGCTTGCTTGTAAAAGTATACACAATAATGGATGCCGCCATCTTTGAACAAACTCCAAGCTCATTGTAAATTCTCCGAGCACACCAAGCGTGCTAGGAATGCTAGCAGTGACATCACGGGTGTGAAAAGTAAACACTGTGCTCATTGGTAGCTAATAAAAAGTATACAGGCTGAGCACGCTAGGGGCGAGATCGGAGCTAAAAGTAAACGCACCCATTATTATTAAATGCCTGTTCAAATGGAAATATGATATGAAAAATTCTTATTTTTCTACTTTCCATTTTTGTTATATATTAAAATTTGTGCATAGTAGAAAATGTATGAATCATTTGAAATGAAAGAAATGCTAAACATTCTTGTATACTTGTATACTCTAACTATACACACACACACACACACACACACATATATATATATATATAGTTAGAGTTTAGCCATTAGCAGCAATTAGAATAATGTTATAAAATTTAAATTTTAGGAAAATTGTTTGTTTTTTTATATTTCACTACTTTTTGATTTTATTTTAAAAATAATTTGATTTCTTTGCCAATTTTATGTAAATGTGTATTTTTAATACACATTTATTTCAAAATTAAGTGTGCAAGCATTTAGGATAATAAGTTTATTGCATTTTTATAGAAACTAAGTAACATGTATCAGTTTTTCTTACTATTATCTTAAAAATTAATTGCAATTTATTTTTGTAATTTATGTAATTTGATTTATTTAGAAAATTTCAGCTGACATATTTAGTTTTTCATGTTTTAAAAAATTATATGTTATAGAAACATACAGCAATTTTATCAAAAATACTATTAAGTTTAAAAAATTAAATATGTATTATATACAAATTATGTATGTGTATATAAACAATATAAAGTTTGTAAAGAGTATTCATTTAAATATATAAAAATTAATGATATTTACACTTATTATAAGTATATATTAAGAAAAAATTATAAGTTGTTTAAATATATTAGTAGTTGATAGTACAAAATAATGTATTTAATAGACAAAAATATCAAGTCTGGAATAATTTTTGTACACATATTCTCTGACCTTACAAACATTTGTAAGGTCAGAGAATTCAATTTTCAAACTGATTGCTGAGATTTACCAACAACTGTCATTCCACTTGTAGTGCTGTGGCAGTATGACATGGGATTGGATCAGACAGTAATCTCTAATATAGTTTAAAAGTATCAAAGTAAATTATAATCAAAATTTTTCAATTTAACTATTGACTTTGTAAATTATATGCATTATCAAAAAGTATTCTGAGGCTTATTTTTCAATGATTTTTCAAAATCAGATTTTTTGGCAAAAGTTTCTTTTGTGTGTTTAAAAGAAATCCAGAAATTTGAGTTTTTTTTTTAAATCATTTTTACAGGTTGCAATTAGAATTGTATTATTATAATTATCTAATATTTATTACATTTAAAATAATTTTTTTGAAGATAAAAGTTTGCTTAAATAAATTAGTTAACAGATTTGTTAATGAAAAATTTCATTTTATGATAGATAAATTAGATAGATTTTTTTAAAATATGCTATCAGATTTTTAAAATGTAATATAATATAAAACTTTTTGAAATATTTAAGTATTTTTAATAAAAACTTATTTATTTGTTGTGACTTATTATTATCTAATTAAAATATTGTCAAAAACTTATCAAAATCGTAAAATGAATTATTAATTTAATTAAATTTACATAATTAATGATTTTAAAATTTTAGCAAATACATGGTCAGCTCCCAGTCATGATTCTGATATTTACAAAGATAAAACTGGAATGGAATTGAACTCTGAAGTTGATCAGAAAACTGAAAATGAAGATAATGAATTCAATTTGGAATTTACGGTAAATTATTTGGAATAAATTTTGACTTTTATTTGATCAGTTTAAAATTAATAATAATTTTCTTTCCCTTCATAGACCATCTTAGTGCTCACAGAGCACTAAGTGGACCTTTTTTAATTGCTCTCCACTTCTTAGGCTGTCTAAAACAAAGTGACATATTATACTAATGTATAATATTAATGTAAAACTATTATTGCTTATCATATTATATAAATATAATTGATAGAACTATAATTTTAAAGTTTGCCTCTAACACTCTAATACAAGGTATGACAATTAAATTTCAGTATAGTCATTATAAGAATATAAAAATACAGAAATAATATTGAAACATCCAGATAGGTTGATCAAATTTATCTTCCATAAACTTAATTTTATCAAATACTTATCCTTTCAAATAATTGTTTATAATAATAAAGCAAAATTAATAAAGAAAATTTTGTTGCAAGTTGGATAAAAGTAATAATGAATATACTAATTGATTAATCAAATATAAATGAATGTTTTGTAACTTGCATGTTTTTGGATGAGTTATAAAGTTTTGAGAGTTGGCTCTTCAAATGTGATAATTTATTTTATATTATCATTCTGCAATCTTATATTTTAAGTCAATTTTTCTTCTTTTGTTGATTTATCTTTCATAGATTATTTTTTTGTTCTCAAAATCAAAGTGATGATGATAAGTTGATTAGAAGACATGCATATATTAAATGCAATATGATAAAGAAATCGATAGCAGTGAATCTAAGTAATTTCTAAACATGTTTATAACAGTTTTACAAGCAGGCATAAACTTCTTAAGGAGATTGACTACCTTAAAAAATATTGAAAGTTTGTCATCATTCTGACATTTTCTTTTAATTCAGATTGTGCTGGAATTTAATTTGTCAAAACTTGTATAAAGAATAAAATATTTTAAAATTAAATATACAATGAAAAATAAAATAAATGTTTCTTTACAGTCTTTTGATCTTGGTCCATCTCTTATGGAAGAAGTTTTTAAGGCATTAGGAAAGTCTTCTGTTACTGAAAAAACCTTAGTCAAAGATGATGATGATGATGATTTAAATGTAACAGACAAATTGAATGAATTATTAGAAAATGATGTAATAAAAGAAATTCCAGATGAGCAAGAATTAGAAGAACCTAGTTTAATATTATCAAATGAAGAAATAACTCCAAAAGAGGAAATAGCAGAAAATATTAATATAAATTCTGATGAAATTGAAAATGACAAATCAACAAATTCTTTACCAGAAGAATATCAACAAATAGATCAGCAATCACTTTGTGAAACAGAATCAGAAAATTTAGAAAATAGTGAAGATAAGAAAGAAAATTCATTTGAAGAAATTCAAGAAACATCTGTTCCTTTAGATCCACAAACTAATTTTAAAGTTGAAAGTAATAATAGTTCTGACTTACCAAGTGAGAGGACTAATGGTTCAGTTTCTATTTCATTACCTATTGCAACTTCGTCTACTTATAATGAAGGGAAAATTTCAACAGACAGTCAAAAAGAGAAACCACCTGTTTTATCTGATTCAGTTGATGAAATAGAATCTAATGATACTAATCCGTTACGAATGCTCAGAAGTGGGATGCCAGTCAGACCAAAAGTTCGTGGAAATAAACATAGTCTACAAGGAAACAATCGAATCCCAAATCATCATAACAGTTGTACAAATTCTCATTCTGTACCTGTTTATCAGGTAGGTGGACGAACGACTTTAGGCGAACCACCACCACCACCATCACTATCACAATCTCAAGCAAAAGAAAAACATCCTATAAAGGATAAAGTGTTTTTTCATTCGCAGGAATCTGTTCCCTCAGGTGAAATGTCTCCTGATAGTAATAAAACATCATTTCTCTCATTTAATCCTCTTCCTCTTCCTCCAAGGGATCGTTCAAAACCCTTTCCTCTACTAAAACACCACCAACGTAAACACCCCTTAATTTTACCAGGACAAACAAATCTTTCTATACCATCATCTCCTTTAGTGAAACAAACTTCTTGTCCAGATGTTATGTCATGTAGTGCTGGAGGTTATGGAGAAATACTTCAGAATCGTGCTGCTAGTGATGATGGCATGGCAATCAAATTATCTGATTTTAACACATCAAATTTGTCAAAATCAGATCAGTCTTGTCCCAGATTTACTACATTTGGCCATGGTACTAGTAATAAAAGCAGATTAAAAGTACCACCTCCAAAACCTTCCAGAGTGTATAAGTAAGTGTTTTACCTCCAATAATTTCACTTCATTCTTAATTTATTACTATTTTATTCTAGTAAAATTTTATATTAAAATTTTAATATAAAATGTCAATATCATAATAAACTATGTAAATCTTGTGCTTTTATATAAATTTAAAAAAAATAAGTTTTATTTCTTTGGGCAGAATATGACGATAGTTTAGTAATTAAATTCAGTTATTTTTCATATATTAATCCAAGGAAAAATAGATACCACGATGTAGAATTGAGAAATATACAGAAAATCATATAGCGTACAAAGGATAAATAGTTATTTTTACATTTTTCATACTGAGATTTTAATCACTATTATAACATGAAATAATTATTAAAATTATAATATTCAACAATTTCACGTAACAAAAGATAAAATTTGATTTAAACTGTAAAAAACATTTAAATATTTTTTTCTGTTTTATTGAGAAATTTTTATACGAGTAAGATACGACTTCAAATTTGCATCATTAGGTTTTAACTAATCTGTCATATATATTATTAAGATTTTTCTGAAGATTAAAAAAAAATTAAAACTGGAAAGTATTTATAACTAGTAAAAATTTCATCATTTTCAATGATCAGATAACTCCAATATAGTGATTGCTTGTGTGTCTATTCTGTTTCTTCTTCTTCTTCTTCTTTTTTTTTTTTTTTTGAAAATTTAATGCTTACAGCAGATTTTGAGATTAATATCAAAATTTTTTAATAATCTCAGTTGTGGGGAGAATTATTTAAAAATTTATTATTTATCATTGGTTAGAGCTTTTTAACAACAAGCACTATAATATATTTTAATATTCAAATGCTATTCTTCCAGTTCCTCTATCTTGTTCACAGAATTTAATGGCATATTAATGTTGATTGACCATTTTTCATTCTTACTTGAACAGTTAATTATCGTTAATCTTTCTAAAAGAAGCTGAGTTTATTCAATTTCTATTCCTTTGTTATGAATAACGTAATGCATCTTTCATAATCCTAAAATTTATTCACCTGTTGTTTTAAATTATTTCTTTGACATTTTATAGCTCAGCTGGCAATTATGAGTAAGGGGTCTGACAAAAAAAATTAAGTTGCAAAGCTAATAATATATTACAGCAATAAAATATTATCAGAACTAGAAAGATTTTTGGAAGAATATTATAAATATATTTTTTGGCATTAATGGTTTCTATAAAATTCTATTTAAATTTCTGGAAAATTATTTTCTAGTAGATAGGAATATTTTGTTTGCTGTTATGTGTTAAGTTGCATTTTCTGATTTATTTTCTTTATTTAAATCATAATTGATATTTATATATAAGCTCTGGTTATACAGAAAATACACACAACCTTAAGTTCCACTAAAATACTGTAATTTAATTTGAAATGCATACGTAAAAAAACAAAAATTGTATTTTAAATTAAATTATATTGTGGAAACTTAAGGTTGTGTGTATTTGTATTTTGTATCCTAGTTTTTGTTTTGTCATATAGCTATTTTATAGAAAATGAAACTTGAAAATTGCTTAATTACTATCTAAATTTTGTGAAATTCAATTATTTCTTCAACACAAAAAGAAATTATCAATCTATGTTAATTGTGTAATGTATGGCAAAAAATTAATTGAAACTTATATTTGTTTTTATTGGACTGCAATTTTCCCACTGGCATCCAGCTGTCTGTCCTTAATCTTAAGAACGGCATTAGATAGATGAAAGTTGAGACCAGATATGAAAAGCTTAAGCGCAGGAGGCCCTGATTAACTATATATGAACATCTGGTTTGCACCAGAAGTCATGTTATTTCAATTCAAAAACTTTCTCAAGAACAGTTAGATAAATGACCGGCATGACTTTTGTTAATGGGAAAAGTATGATATACAGGGGAAAGACACTACTAAAATTGAGAACATTGTGACAAAATATTGCAATGTAGCATTGTGATGATGTCACAATAAATAATTGCTCATGTTAGATTAAATATTAGGTGGTGAATGTCTTGTAATATTATCCTATTAAAAGATTACTTATTAAAAGTCCATTCATAAACATTAGCATAGAGATACAACAAAAATAATTTACAATGCATTTCCATTTTGTTTTTAGACAAATAGAAAACTCTTTAACTATATTTCTAGAAATAAGTTCAATAAACATTTCATTTTTCTAAACATTTTTAGTATTCTTTGCCTTCAACAGAGATTTTAATTACATTAATAAAATAGTTTTTACCAATAATTGTTTAAAGTAGAAAGATTACAAATTTATCTTTTTAATTACACAAAAAAGTTTCACATTTCTGTTGTTTGTGTGAGTGTGTTATTATTATTTATAGTAATAATATTTTAGATTTTTTAAATTAGTGATGAGCAACATTTCCTGGATTTGGGCCACAAGTGAACTTCTTAGGCTTTCAGTGGGTTGCATGCATTTTTTTCTTATGGAATTGCAGGCTTTTAAGCCTGCCAGTACCAACATATTTGATAACTTCCAGTACATCAGGTACTAAAATAATGTGCTAATGATATGCAAATTAATAATATATAGTCTAGTTTTTTTTTCATCTTTTCACTGATCAAGTTTAGTTCGAATGTACTTTGTCACAAATATAAACTTTTAAAGTTACATAAGGGCACGAGGCATAAAACAGGAAAATGAAATTACATTGATAAGCTCTGGGATGGTATATTAGGACTTTGAGAACCATTTGCAGATTGCTCATGACTGTTTTAAATGATTTGTTTTAAAAACTTTCAATAAATTTGACTTAACATTTTTTATGTTAGTGAATTTTGTTCTTTAAATTTATCAGTTTTTCATTACTTTTTATGCAAATATCAAGTTATATGTTTAAATTTCATATTGCATTAGTATAATATTATTTATAAGTATTCATACAAGTTAAAATTTTTTTCTTTTTATTTGCATTTTTATCATTTTAAAATTTGATTAAATTGTACATGCAAAACAAAATTTAAAAACTATATATTACAATTATTACAGCATTGCTATTGAATGTTTAAATATATTTAAGAAATAAATATAAGTGTAAATGTATTAATAAAATATTAATACATTTTGAGAGCCAAGAGAAAGCTCAGATTGTCTTTTTACAGTACAATTTTGCTCTCTTTTAATTCGAATATCATTTCTTAGTTATAAATAAATAACAAATTTCATTAGTAACCAATAAAATTTGTAAGTTGCATGTTTGAGTCCTTCTCCAAACCGATTCTTTTCTTCCAGAAATTAAAAATGAATTTATTATAATTATTAAAATTAAAAATGAGATTGCAGCTTAACCACCTATCTCTAGTCAAATTATTTCATATCTAATTACTGAATTAGCCTTATTATAGCCTGATAATATAGCAGATTGTTTGGCATTGATAACCGGCTTTTGGTAATGTATTAATAAAAATTAAAGCCAAGAAAATTATTATTAAGAAAGAAAATTTTAATAGAGATCAAATATATTTAATAGCTAAAGAAGAGCATTTTAGATAGTATAAACCAAATTTATAAAATATATTACTTAATCATATATTAGAATGAGTTTATATATTAATTAAAATTGCTGAGTGGGTTATTAATTATCTATTAAAAATAATAGTTTTATAATGATTTTCTATTTTTTTAATTAAAATAAAAGAGAGTGAATGTACCTTCTGTTCAGTAATTATTATTTGCTCTAAGTCATTTATAATAATCTGTAATATACAACATAAATCATTAATAGAACCAGTTAGTTCTACAAAGCAGGAATTATAAACCAAATAACTTAGAGCTAACCTTGCACACTTTTCCAGCTGTATAACATTTTTTATTGTTTACCAAATTATGCAGTCCCTAAATGGAGCCAAATACGTTTGCTTAGTGTATAATTTGATATATGATAATAAGTGTTATACAGCTGGAAAAGTGCTCAACGTTGTTTGTAAGTCAATAGAACAATATATCTTGAAAAAATAAAAATAAACAAACATATTATGAAAATAAATATGATGATTATAGAAAAATTCTTTGCATTGATATAGAGTATTCACTTATACTATACATATTAATAACTTAAAATGTTTAAAAGTTACTGTAATAAGTGTTTTTCTTTGCAGTAAAGATGATACACATGAAACTCAAATTGAATCAGAAATAGATAATTTGGATAATATACCAGAGGAAGAAAATTGTTCATCTTTATCAAAAAATAACTTTAATTCTCAGGATATTTTAACAAAACAGAAAAATATAAGTCAAAGGTAATGTTGTTGTTCTAATTTTATGGGCAACATATGCATGAAAATCTAGAAAATGTTTTGCTTCAGTATAAAAATTTTCAATAAGTACTAATAATAGAATCATTTTTAATTACAAGTAAATTTTCTAATGGAAATGAATAGAAATTTTCTTAATTTTTATACTTCATGCCTTTTATATAGTGTTAAAATTTTTGATTTGCATGTTCATTTTAATCCTCTGGTATTGTATTGATAAATCAATAATTTCTAATGTTTGCTTTTTATTTACTTTGTTTCTTAGCATAATGTGTTGCATAATTATTTAAAATATTTTTGATTTCAAACTAAAAAGATTTAAAGTTGTTTAAGTTACATTTAATATTTAAATTAAATTGTATAGAAAAATTTTTCAGTTGTTACAATATGTTTCCTTTAGTGATGATAAATTTTACTATAGGAAATATAAAACACATACCTTTCTTGATGAAAGATTTTAACAGAAAACCCAGATTTTTTTCCTGTTAAGATCTTCCATTAAGAAAGAAAGAATTCTGAATGATTATACTTTATATTCATCTTTATATAATTGTTAATATTACAGATCTAAAAATGTTATAAATTATATTTTTTCCATAATTAATATATTTTATTTATTGATTTTTAATTTTTTGAGGTTTATTAATTAAAATAAGAAATATTTTTTTTCAAAATAAACTTGAATTATAGTCACATTTCAAAAAGCAGATAATGAAGTATGAATTAAAACAGAATGCTAGCTTTTCACATTAAACATATAACATGAAACTTGAGGGATAAAGATTAAAATTTACAGGGTGTCCAAAAAGTTACTATGCAGTGAGAAATTTGTAATGACATTAGAGTTATACATTAAAGTTGTATGCAAAACCTTATGGTCAACTGATACCAAATGGATAACTTACAAGTCTTTTATGCAATACTGTATGTACTGTATAACTTTAATGTCATTACATATTTCTCACTGCACAGTAACTTATTGGACACACTGAATTTCTAAATTAGTCATGTAATGTAGTTTTAGTATCCAGTAAACATTTGTTAAAATTAAAAATATGTTCAAATACCAAACCTGCCTCCTCTTCTTTTTTAAGTCTGAACAGTCTAAATCCCATGAAATTATTACACTATAAATTATCTGTCAGTTAATTTTATTTAGTTACATACCCTACAGTCATGTTTCATATTGCAGAATTATCTATGATGAGAAATACAGACCTAAATTGATATTACACAAAGATAGTTCAAATTTAAGATAAATTTTTTCAATTGTGCTTAATATATTTATTGTAGTTGATGCAAATTTTCCTGTCTTTGTTTATGAACTGCAAAAAATTTTCCATAGCTTCCTCTTATCATGTAGAACTGGATTTACCACTGCTGACAGGGCTACAACATAATTCCTCGGGACTTCAGATGCCTCATAATTCTTAAATCTCATAACTTTCGAACTTCTATACTTTATTTATTTATTTCATAATTTCTGGTTTTATATGCATTGGACATCAGGTGAAATTTGGAAAAATGTAGAAAAAACTTATTTTTATATATTGATATAATTTTCATTATAATTTGTTCTAATTCAATAAATGGTTTCTTTTATTTCTTGAAAGTTAAAATGCCACTATAAATTGTTTTATTGCACATTGCTTTTAATAGCATCTCATATTAATTCTAACCTTTATTAATTCATTCATTTTACAGATTTTTTGTCATTAAAAATATTCTTTTCGTGTCTGCATTCTAATGTAGATACTGAACACACAACTGAACTTTAATATCTAGCAATACATCATAAAGATATGTTACTAGACAATATTTGCTTTCCAGAAATCTTGAAAAAAACAAAAGAAATGCTGTACGCTTCAAGGAGTCAAAATTTAGTTTATTCTGATTAAAAATTTCAAGATATTACACGTGTTATCATCAGATCAAATTCTTAAGATAAACAAATTCAAACATGGAACATAATAACAAATTTGGATAAATTTTAAACAGAATAAAATTTGTTTAAAAATTCAAAATGCTCCAAAAATAATAAAATATTGCCATTCTAATAAACCACACAAAAAATAAAACTTACTAAAAGTAATTAATTAATTAACATAAATTAGAGAATATTATGTTTAACTATAATTCACTTTACATAATTTTCTTTGATGCACGATCTTAATAATTTTGCCGTATTTCCATTATTTTTATGAATCTTGTATTGCTTTTTCACTTCTTGTCATCTTATTATCATTTTGTAAACTGAACTTTGTACTGTAAACAATGAAATATATAATGCCTTGAAAAATATTTAAATTGGGATAAACTGTGCTTTTATTCATTAAAAACAACAAAAGAAATGCAATAAAGCTTAATATTTCTGCTTAAGAATGGAGTTGTTTATTAGGAAGAAAAAAATTTGCCTTTAACTGCTTTAGTCCAGTAACAGTTACATCTATGTAACTTATTGGAGTAAAAAATACAGATAACATGTATAAAAACCACAACAGTAAACTGGAACAATGTATATAGACACTCACCTAAATGTCAAATTTCCTGCAAAACACCCAAATTCAACATTTGAACGTTTTCAACCACTTCATAATAGGCCTTCATCAAGAAAAGTCAAATGACTAGTTCTATTTATAGAATGTTGCCATGTTGTACACGTAATTTTTAAAAATTATTTAAAATCAGTTCAAACAACAGCTGTGATGTATATTAAGCAACATATATTCCTTTAAGAGTCTAAATAATACTTCCATGCATTTGGTATGGGATAATTTTTTAAAAATTACATGTACAACACAGTAACATTCTATAAATAGAAGTTATTTTCATTTGACTTTTCCTGATGAAGGCCAATTAAGGAGTGGCTGAAAACATTCAAATGTTGATTTTGGTTGTTTTGCTGGAAATTTGACATTTAGGTGAGAGTCTACAGATAATATGGATAATACTATTTAATACTATTATTTATTTTAATAAGATCTGTATAAAAGGAGTGAAGAGGGGGTTATCAGAACCTGAAATGCATTTCCAAATACAGCAATAAAGCCTATAGAATCAATTAAGTTTCCTGTGAGATTTAAGTTACTAAAAAAGCCAAAATTTAGGCTCAGTAAATTAACAGAAACTAGTAATGGAAATGGTCAATTAAATACAGTAGAGCGTCGATTTTCCGAAAGTCAATAATCCGAAAGAATTCCAGTCAGCCATTAAATTTTCGCCAGTGCTGTGGCGCTTCAATCTTTGGCTATGTCTTGGGCTACTCAAATATTTTACGTTTTTGATACTAAATTAACATCTGAAGTATAATTTTTTATTATTTTTATATTTTTCAATAGATTTATTTTGTTTGTACAAAATAAAAAAATAATTTTTAACGATACAATAGTCTTTGTTAGGCTTAACATAGACGAAAATTCAACGATATAAATTTCGACATCGGATACGTTAAACTATTTTTTCGTACGTAAATCAGTTATCCGGACAACCCCAGTCCCCAATTGATTCGGAAAATCGACGCTCTACTGTAATAGCATTTCTATGAATGTTACCAATTATTTCATAATTATCTTAACTATCTGTAGCTAAAAGGGAATATTCTGATTCATATTACAAATAGTTCTTATTTCAGTATGTTTTAGTGTTTTCTCTTTGCCATAAAATCTGTTCATGCCAATTACCATGTCTCTATATAAAGGAAGGTTATAGTTCATTAGTGCTCAATGTTACTTGAAAGTTACATATCTAATTTTATTCATAAAAATTACATTTAAAGCAAAATTATCTTATAAAATTGTTAATGATGTAGAATTATGCTTACAATTGTGTTAAATATTTTTCTATTATCAAAGATAACTTTAAAAAAGCATGAAAATACAATAGTAGAAATATCTAACTGTAAATAACAGAATGCGAGCAGTCTGAAATATATAGATACCTAGTGGTGTAAATATAAATTTATCATTGTTGTCAACACATCAAAAAATAATTGCCATATTTTAACTTTCAAATTATATTGGTCAAAAAAAGGTATAAAATATATATTACAGTTAAATGATGGTAAAAGTTGATTGTGACATCAAAGTTAAATGAGGCAGTGGAGGGTTAAGTGTTCACAAATTAAATTCTAATGAAAAGTTATCATTTTGCATTTATGGTGGTGGTGATGGTTATTTAATTCAGATTTGATATTTTTGTTTGTTTGTTTATTATTAAAACATTTTATGATTTAATGTATTACTTTATTAGTGCTTTATTATTTTAAAAATTCATCAGTTTTATTAATATTTAATTTCTATTTTTAATAATGATGTGTATGAGTGTATGTAATGACTTTAAATAAGTCTGTGTATTATGTTTGTTAATTTTTGATGATAATATCCTCAATTAATTTTTTCCCATTCTGTGGGCACTAAGAAAGATTTTTTTTAGTAAGCCTGTTTTGAGCCCACAGTAGGGTGACCAGGTGGTAAGGGATGAGGCCTGACACATCTGGATGGACCCCCCCTGAAAAATTACTGAGGTTTTATGATCCATTTGGATTCAATCCTGGGTTCTCTGGAATCTCCTGCAATTCCAGAGAACCCAGAATCACTACCACCTAACCACTCAGCCATCCAACTGTCCAATTGGTCATATTTTATTTGAATGAAGTTTAGAATACCAAATTAAAATTGTAATATTTGATAATTATTGAACTATTTCCTCCAATTTTAAATTTCTGGGTAACAGTTTTCATTTAATTAAAAAATTTTTCATATTTGAAAATAGCTTTATCTGAGAAGAATACATAAAAATTATTACACTCTGCAAGGATTGTGAGTGTGAGTCGGATTATCAACTGAACGGTTGATTCCGAGAGACGATCGCTCCATGAGTAGAAGATTCCAGGAGATAATCTTAAAGGAAAACCCACTACATAAGATGATCGTGGAACATGTATTCCTTATTACTGTAAAAACACAAATTAACAATTTACCATATTT